ACACACACACACACACACACACACACACACACACACGTTTATTTGCTTGATTCATCCGACCAACCGCAAACGGCAGCAGCAGCCACGAGGGGCAGATGGTCTCACCTGTCCAGTGTCCGTCTTCTCGCTGCACCACTTGCCGAGGTCGGTCATGCAGCGTTTCTGAAGCTCCGGGTCCAACTTCACATCCAGCGCCCTCTGGTGGAGAATCCTCTGAACCTCCACCTTACAGTCCCGAGATAACTGCACACACACACACCAGTAACAATTGAGTGCTATTATATATCATATCATTTGATCGTTAAAACCACGTATTATTGTGTCGTAGTTGGCTGAAGTGAAGCTAATTTTCAAATGTCTCCAGTAATCGTCGTATAACCATGACTTGAAAAAATATCCTTCTACCCAGTTTCCATCTATAGTTGCAACCGAGTAGATAGAGTTGCCTCACGTCAGATAAAGTTTGTTGCAAACACAGTTCTGGAAAATACCTAATCAAAAGTATGAATCACAAAATGATGACATCGGTAAGTAGCTAACTCTCCAATCATAAAGAAAAATAAAACGATTTGTTAAGTATCACTGATCTGACTTATAGGTGACAAAACAATACATGAAACCTGATTCCCAACAAATCTGAATGAGTGATTGTAATTTCAGTGGTCGGTAATCTACTGAGTTTTTTTTTATTTTTTTATTTTTTTTTTACATAGGATTAAATACTAGGATCAAATCGTAAATTTCAACCCTTCACCAGAATCAATGCTGATTGATTTAGGTCGACTCACTGTACCTGATCCTCTGGATTTACCTGTTAAATTAAAAAACATCAGAGTTACACCTGCACATCAGGCTCCTACACACAACAGACTTGTACATCAGATGATAGTAAAACAGTGAGTGTGTTTCTGGCGTCATTCCTACCCGCCGACCCTGCTCCTCGGTGCGGTAGGCATGTCGGTACAGGCACGAGAAGACGGCGCCCGAGGGCATCAGCTCGCTGGTCTCATTCCAGCCGTGGGTGTGGCAGAGGCGGGCGGCATCACCCTGACACTTCTTATACAGGATGGGGTCCAGTCTGGGATACGGAGGAAGGAATAATACACCTGTTTAATTTAAGGTGTATTATACCATAGTTTTATAGTTCAGTTAGTAAAAAAACACAAGACTAGAGCCATGTGAGGACAAATGAGGTGAAGTACAAGAGATATTCATCTTTCAGTCATTTTCATGTCAATGAGGTTTAGATCTGTTTGTATAAAATGTGAAAATCAAAATGAGAAGCAGTTAAAAAGCAGAGAAAGCGAGTGTGGACAAACATTTCAAAATGATATTCAGATTTGCGTTCGTTCAGGTCGGAGGAAAACATCAGGCTCAGGTGTGGACGTATAAAACTGAATGTTTGTCAGGTTGGGCTCGGATAGTTTTCTCTTTCAGCCCGAGCTGCTCTCTAATCCAGATTCACAGTGAACAGACTCACTTCCAGTCTCTGGATATGAAATACTGCAGCTCCAACAGTCGGTGTTCACAGTCCTCCACCATCTTCTCTGTGTACAGGTGCTCCATCAGACACGACAGGATCCTGACACACACACACAAACATTAATTCATTATTTTTCATACATTCACAAGCTCAACTGCTAAATGTAAGAATTTAAAACCTTTCTAATACCACAGATTGTAATTTAATTTCAGGTTTCATAGTCATATTGGATGAAGAATGTGTGTAGCCAGCTCACATTGGGTCTCCGGTGCGGATGTGTTTGCAGGCCGTCTGGATCACGGACTCGCAGGCCTCGTTGAGCGCGCGGTCGATCCTGTAGTCGGCTCCAGGATCTGCAGACTGGATCAGAGTCTGAAGCTGCAGCGAAAAACAAAGTTCGAGAAAATATAGTGTCAGCAGCTGGATTTCAATTCATATTTTATTTTCTATTTATGAATCCTATTCTTATTTTTTTTAATCATGGGGGGAATGTATAAAAATAGTTTCATCAAGATAACGGTGGCAATGACGGCTGCGGTCTTACTGCGCTCTGGCAGACGCCGTCGACGGTGGCGCTGCGGTCGCCGCGTCCTATTCTCATCAGGCAGTGCAGCGTGCGGCCTTTGCGGTGCAGTCCGGAGCAGTGAGCCTCGATCTCTGTCCGACAGTGAAGCACGATCTCCGGACTCAAAGAGAAATCCTCCATCAGCATCCGCCGGTAGTCCACCATCTCTCCCTGACACTCGCCACTGACCGTGCGACCTGGAGAGGGCGAGATCGCATTTGAACACAGTTAAACTCTGACTCTGACGCTGCTTGTAAATCCACTGAAAATAAACAGGCTGCTCTTAGGGCTTAATATTTTCGGCTCACCGCGGTGGACGGCGGCCTCCAGGCACAGCAGCAGGTACGACAGCCGGGCCTCGCGGGCTCGCGGCAGGTTGGTGTCCAGGCTGCAGCGCTGCTTCCTCAGGTCCAGCTTACAGGCTTTAGCCAGCGAGTAACTGACCCTGTAGTCCTGAGAGATCAGCTTCTGACGGGTGGTCAGAGCATCACGGCACTGTGGAGGAAAAGGAGGAGAGTTGAATGTGATTCAGAACACAACTGAGTTTGTAAATTCACAGGTCGATGAAAATCCGTCGCACCTTTTCTGACATGGCCTCTTCAAACTTGTGGTTGAACAGACACTTGTAGACTTTTCCTTCTCCTGCCTGAGTCTGTGCAGAGTGAAAGAGAGAAAGCAGTTTGTTTGTGTGAAGTAGTTTCATGTGCAGACTGATAGTGAAATACTATTATAATTGATGTATTTAAATTAAATCTAATTTATGGACGAAGGTTCCTTTATAAACCTGTTTTTCACCTTTGTTTTGTTTGAGACAGTATCTGCTTCTTGACAGTTTATGGATTCCTGTGCAGCACTAACAATAATATGAATAATATTAATAACCCTCTATCAATCAGGAATGGATCTAATTTAATTTATGGACTTGTTTTTATCTGGTTCCATGTTTTAATGTGTGAAGTTTTTGTTGAAGTAATGTTTGTGTGTGTACCTAGAGTACATTGTACAAAGCATATATCTAATATGAGATAACACACATCTATCAAAAGTGGTGAAACATTTTGAGTTTGTGAATCCTAAAGATGCTAATGACCGATGCTAATGAACGATGCTGATGTTGATGCTGATGTTGATGTTTTTAACTTACGTTCTGACAGAATCTCTCTCGGTCGTCTCGACAGGAGAAGTAAAGATGTCGATCGAGGTGGAAGTCGTCTGATGACAGCTCCGCCACCCGCAGGATCGCCCTCTGACACTCTTCTTTGATTGAACGAACATGATCCTGCTGCTCCGCCTCCTGCACCAACGCCTTCTCCAGACAGGAAATCACTTCACCCTGGGAGTGCACGTCCTGATGAGGAGGAGCGGTGAGAAAGAGGACGAAGGTATGAGATCAACGTTCAACCTGTTGTATCCAGAACCTCCAGAATTTATATAACTACACAGACGATTAGCATCTCCTTGCAGTCAGGTCTATCTGTCTTTATTTATCTTAATCCAAACACAACTCACACACACACACATGCACAACCTCAGTCACTCACACTGCTCCCACCTTGTGTCCTACGTTGATGCTGCCGCATCGCAGGCTGTTGATGTCCTCTTTACATTTGTCCATGAAGCCACAGATGAGCCTGAAGTCGCTGAAGACGATACCGGTCATCTTGGTGATGTACTGGTTACACTGGTACTCGCTGATGTTGCTACGGTGATCCACCAGGCAGGACACCAGGTAGCCCCTCCCTCGCTCCTCCTCGTTACACTCCTTTAACTGAAGGTGTCAGGCAAATGTTTTAGGCTCTTTCAATGTTCAGATTCTTGTCAATCAGTCAATCAGGGTATTGATCCAATTCATTCTAAAGATCTTTCCTGATTCCAGACTCACCTCAGTGATCGTGCTCTTACAGACCTCTGTGGCGACCGACTCAAACTTGGGATCTGTGGTCAGATTGAATTTGTAGTTCCACAGGAGCTGATGGAGAAAATAAAACATTTGTAACATGACATTTTTATAGAGATTGCAAGTTTAACTTATTCAGAGTGAACTAAGGATCGAAAAGGACACTCGAACATTTATTTACTTTATCTAAGCCCCATCCACAAGTCATAATCAGATGAAGCTGATAATGTGACATTTTAATTATTTCCTCGGGCTCCCAGAAAGCAAACAGAAGACACTAAGTAAACTGATATTTTTATAATTCATTCATCATTGATATGTAATTTCTAAGCAAGAATGCCAAAGAAAAGTTCCAGCTTCAAATATCTGAATATTTGCTTTTTCCCCAGTTGATTAACTTCAAACTAACATTTGACTGAGTTAACTTTAGCTTTCTGGATCAAGCATCTGAAATTTTACACAATGAAAAGTAAATCGATGGATAATTAAAATAATTGTTAGTTGCAGTCATCTTGCACAACCTTCCGATCACCTCCACCGAGCAGGTGATGTTTTCACCCCTCTTCGTTTCTTTGTTTGTTTGTTGCAGGATTACGGAACAACTACTAAACAGATTTCCACAAAACCTCCTCCTACTTCCCCTTCTTTCCTTACTTGGCCAACTACTTCCTGCAGGGGCTCCACCTACAGGAACTATACAGGAAGCAGCTCACCTGGCTCACTTGTTTTCAAACACAGACACCTGACTGACAACATGGTGGAGGCCTCCTCCTTTCAGGTTTGGACTGTGTACACGACCGACGTGAGTTTGTGTTGTTTGATGGTGAACAGACTTGAATTGAGGTCAGTCCTCAGTGTGCAGAGCTTTTTATAAACATGGTGCAGAGTGAAGTTAGAAAACTTTGTGTTCATCCTACCTGGTTTATCTGCACTGAAGATTTTATACTTTATCAAATGAAACTGAATTCAAGTCATACAAAAGAAAAAGGGTGATTTAGGGGACTGTTGGGTCTTGGCGGAGGTATAAGCTCTAGTATGACATTTAGTTGGATTTTCTTTAGCTGTGTGAAAAGAAGTTTCCGAATCTCTCTGTTCTGTCTCATCTGTTCTCTCTTCATCTTTCTGCCTTTTTATTTATGTGTCTATTGTTTTCCTGCCAGCGAAGCTCCAGCTGCAGCAGCCACAGATAACAGCGAGAGACAGTCAGTCCGCCCAGAAAATAACACCAAGACAAAAGTGTGTGTGTGTGTGTGTGTGTGTGTTGTTGTTAATTGCAGCCACAGCTTTCCCGGTGCTGCAATAAAAGGTCCATTAACCTTTTGGCATTTCAAAGACCTGTCTGCTGTTAACTGCCGTGGACTCTGGACACTGGAGCTTTATTATCCAGACACTGAGACGAAGCTTTAAGAATCTCTTACTGAAGAAAAGAGAACAAACGTCGGACTGAATGTCAGAGGGTGATGAAGGTTCAAGCAAAGTTTGTGAAGGTCGTCGGTCACTTGTCCAGTGACTATTTACAGTCACTGTGTGCCTGTGCGTGTGTGTGTGTGTGTGCCTGTGTGTGTGTGTGCGTGTGTGTGTGTGTGTATGTGCGTGCGTGTGTGTGTGTGTGTGGGCGGGGGGGGATACTCACATGATTGCAGTCGGGAGCAAGCTCACTTTCCTGCAGAGAGACAGAGAAAAGAAAGAAGTTAAACTCAAAAACAAGTAATTCAGAATATTCTTCAGCAAAATTCACTATACTGTTTTGTAGTCTTAATTGTAGTATTAATCAATATGTATTATACTGGAAGTATTCTTAGAGGCAAAAATTTCCATCCCCACTTAAAAGCTAATTTCATATCTGTCTAAATATTTTTTCATGCTGCAGCCGGCAGGTGATTTTTCGGACTCTGAGCTTCACTGTAATGTTGTGTCCAGTTTGTTTTATCTGTGCTCAGAGTCTGTGTTTGAATTGGAAGTGATGTAGTTTCACTGCTTCTTGGCAAACGGCAGGGCGCAGTGACTGTGGCCAGCTTGTTGTGACAGTGACGTTTCCAGGTTTGTTCTGAACAGAGGCCGAAACCCAAAACCAGTTCTCACCAACTTTATCCAGCAAACAGCTGATTCTGAACCGAGGTGCTGCAAGAACGGACAAAATAATTTGCTTAAAAAGAACCTTACAACCATGAACTTTACATTACTGTTTTTAAGAGGATTAAATAAAGATATATCAATTATATTCAGAAACAACTTACTAACTCTACCTTTAAAGAACTGAAATACTGGTAAGAACAGAGGTCTTAAAACAGACGTGGATCAGTGGATGGAGCTTTAGTTTGGGGGTCTTGCTCCCATATACATATCTTTCCTCAGGGGCCCATTGTCTCTATAATCTCTTACAATTTCTCCAAATGTCCACCTCTCTACATTTTAAATTAAAAAACAGTTTGGTCAGCTGCTGAACACATCGTCCATCTGTGCGCTGAGAAATGAGCTTGACAGTTTCTTTTGAGTTTCAGTGGAGGAGATAAGACCAACCACAAACCATGAGGAGGATGATCCTGATATCATATCAGTGTGTTCTTCATTTCCCCCCCAACGACGACAACAGTGGTTTGATAAGAGCAAAGCAGCAGAAGCTCTTCACTGCTTCATTGTTGACTATAAACAGCGGTTGACTTTGTTCTTACAGCATCGCATCACTTTGCAGTAAAGCGACATGAACATTCCTGATGTTGACTCCTCTCTGCCCACTGGAGCTTCTCCTCAAAGCTCCTTCTTCTGGCTTTATTCGCTGTCATCAACATTTCAAAGACAGAGCAGCAGCGGGCGTAATGAGGAAACACAGCCTCCGCAGCCTCTGAGATTAAAAACTTCCCATTAGCAAGACAACGAGTTATTAATTAATGAAGAGCTGCAGCACTCACATCAAAGAGCTTTGAAACAAGAGCACATTAATCAAGTAGACTGAAGCAACAGAGGCTAATTGTGTGTGGGGTGGAGGGAATGTGACAAGTCTTTGTTTATCTTGCTGGAAACCTCGGAGTGAATACGATGCTCGGCACTAAATGTTCTCTGTGTGAAACTGACCTCTTCACGTCTACACTGACAAAAGCTTTACTGTCACAAAATGTCTTGTTGCTCTGCAGCCCCACATCGTACCAGTGTTCTTTCTTCTGTGAATAAAGAGGATTCAAATGACATCGTCATCTCGTGACCCTTTAGATTCATCCTGTGAGCCCTTAAGGCTCTCGATCCCTAGGTTCGGAAACGCTCAAACAGATAATGATAATTTGCCTGAAAGTAAAAGTGGCCGCAAGCATCTGTGTGCGTTGCAAAGAACCAGAATCCAAAAGCACAACACGGTAAATAGCCACAGTGAGAGAAAACCACCTCATCCCAACGACAGGAGGCTGAAACTGCCCCACAACAACAATGTCCTCCACCCTGTCGATCCAGAGCCAGTGAGAGTCTGACTGTGGCCTCGGGCCTGTTTGTGCAGTGACTGTCTGAGCGCGGTGGACTTTGTTGTTTTTCTCCCAGACGTCCATCAAGTGTCAGATTTCAGTGCTTAGAACGCCACAAATAAACTCTGTGACACTGCACCGTAAACACGCTGGGCTGTGTGAGTGTGTGCTCGGACAGTGGGGGGGTGTAACAAAGACCTGAGATTTGAAATTTCCCGAAATTAAGTTTTAAATATGAATTGATCCGACTCACTATTTTTCTTTCTGTGTGTGTGTGTGTGTGTGTTTGTGTGTGCACACATGTATATCTATAGTTATGAGGTTCCATCCCATCCTTGTGAGGACATTTCTTGAGACTTGGATTTAGGGTTTGGGTTAGAATTAGGATTAGTTTAGGTTAAGTTAAGCATTTAGTTGTGATGGTTAAGGTTATGGGTAAGGGATAAGTGAATGCATTATGTCAATGACTGTCCTCCTAGCTATAGAGAAACCCTGTGTGTGTGTGTGTGTGTGTGTTGTTGGGGTGTGTATGTGTGTGTGTCTTGGGGGTGTGTGTCTTTGGGGTATGTATGTGTGTGTGTCTTGGGGGTGTGTGTCTTTGGGGTATGTATGTGTGTGTGTCTTGGGGGTGTGTCTCTCTCTGGAGAGGAGGCAGATTTATAGGAGCCATTTACCTCTTCAGGAGGCCACAGCTGTTATTGAGTTGAAGCGATGTAATTATCTCAGTAAAGAGGGCATCACTCAGGGCCGGTGGTGTGTGTGTGTGTGTGTGTGTGTGTGTGGGTGGAGGAGGGTTGTCGACGTCAGCATGGTGGATAATAGAGGATGACGTCAACATGGTGCTGGGGCAAAAAGGGTTTCAATATAATGGGTAGACACAATGAAAAGTCTAAAATGATTACAGGACATGAACCCTTTCCTGTTCACCTGACTGAGGAGTTAAAAAACACATGAACGGAGTTAAGTGATTCACCAAAACAGTGTGTGTGTGTGTGTGTGTGTGTGTCTTTGTGTAAAATATTTGTTTTGGAAAGACGTTTAACACCGTTCGTCACCTGACAGCCGGATGATTACACACACAGGTTGATGATTACTTGACTGAGCCTTGACTGCGGTGGTGTGTGGGGGAGGGACAGAGGTTAAAGAACTTTCGCAAAATATATTGTTTTTGTTAGTTTTGTGTTTGTCACGTGGTAGAAACCTCAACACACCCAGTCGCTCGCTCGCTGTTAACTTTCCTCACATTTTCCTGCTGCATTCTCACATGAATTCACTCAATCATTGTCCAGAGCAGCTGACTCTTAACATTTGGGTTCTCACATAAAAACACATTCAAACTTCAGTGCAGGACTGAGAAGCAGCTTCAGTTAATATTTCTCGCTGGTGTGTTGAACGACCACATCAGTCCGGGGTCCTCTGCGGGACAGGCGGGGAGGTTTGGGGGCCCTTTACTCATCTATGCCCTCAGAGACCCTTAGTCTCATAATCTGTCAGTGTCTAAGTGGCAGGAAACAGACAGAGGGATTAAGAAACTAAGAAAAGCTCATGTTCACAATAATTCATTTTTTTAAATAAGGTTGCTTCATCATGACTCCATGAGATCCACAATCAAACATCACGTCTCTACAGCCAGAAATTTAAAATCCAACATTTTAATAGGTTGCTTTAAAACCCTGCAGATACTTGATGACTCCATCATTTTATTACTGATAATAATTTGTTGTTTTAGCGTGAATTAGTGGGTTAACTTTTAAGTTTTAAGCCTTTACACGAACTTACTGATGCATATTTGTGGCTCTTGATGCTGTAATGTTACAAATGTAAAGACTAAAAGGATTATTTTATTTTGATCTTATCTTAAAACAGACATATCTGTAAAGTAAATCATCTTTAGTGTGTGTGTGTGTGTGTGTGTGTGTGTGTGTGTGTATGTGTCAGGTGTGTGGATGTTTACACCTGTATCAGCCGGGGTGGCTCTAACCCACCGAGGCGACACACCCAGCCGCTGCCCCATCAGCTCTTCCGGGGAGCGGCGTGTGACTCCCCCCGGCCCTCCGCTTACCTCTCTGCGGTCCTGCAGACACTCCAGCACGGCCAGGTTGTTGGTCCAGGTGTGTTTGGAGCAGAGGCGGCTCAGGTCCTCCCGGCAGGCCTCCTCCTCCGACAGCTTCCACCCGCTCGCCCTTCGAGGCTGCGAGGCCCCGGCGGCGGCGGCGGCAGGTGCATCCCTGAGAGGGGGGTCCGCGGCTCTGAGGACCGGAGGGCCGGGCGGGTCAGCCGGGCCGCTGACAGCCTTCAGGCCGAGGACGGAGCCGGAGCCGCAGAGACACAGGAGCAGAAAGAGCCGCAGCTGCAGGCGACCGTCCGCCGCCATCTTCACTCCGCTGTTAACAACAGTGGCCACAGCGCTTCACTTCCGCTCAAGCGCTTCAAAATAAAAGTCCTCCTAATGTACAACTTCCTTTCTTTTAAAAAATAAAAGCATTTATTCTGCACTTTATAAATCTCCACTACGTCGGATTTAAAAGTTCAGTAAATCTCTTCACAGACAGAAAATGCCCTGAAACTTTTCTAGCTACTGGACTTGTTTATGCTCATTGAAAAAGTCTCCTGAGTTATTTATTTATTTTATTATTATTTGTTAGTGATTCTTTTTCTCTCATCACCGTATCGACACTGATGTCAACTTCGATTGTGATATATGCCTTAAGGTTTGTAACTAAACACCTTTCGAGTTTTTATGACAATTGAAGACTGCCACAGATTCTCTTTCCTGTTTGGAAGGGGGGGGGGGGGAGAGATAAGGTGTATTCAGCTGCAACATGACACTTCACCACTAGATGTCACTAAATTCTACACACTGAACCTGTAAAGCCACGGTCTGATTGATAGTAAATAAAGATGGATGACGTGACAGCTCCCAAAAGTGAAGCCAAACCATTTTGAGCACCTCCTGGTGGCTGGCTGCAGTATTGGTATTGGTTATACACCCATAAATATGTGTGTGTGTGTGTGTAGCTGAATATGATGGGAACCAGTCAGAGCAAAAATCCTCCCGGTTTAAAGCTGACAGCTGCAGGAAGCTTTTCTGGGTCATCACAACCCACACTTCCAACCTGCTTTTAAATTGAGTCACAAGTTCCAGCGAAAAGGAGTTCACTGTTTTTGTTACGTTTTCTTTCTTTTACCACAATTGACATAAGTATTTGAAATTTTGAAGTTTGGTCATTAGATTCTAATAATAACAAATCTCTCAAATCTCACACTCAATATTTTCTCCACAGCCACTTAATTTGTTACTTCTATTCTTACTTGAGCAACAAGACGTGTGAAAGCAGCGCTCAGCTGTTCCAGAGCTGACTCAGAGCGCAGCAGGAAAATCCTCAGGAATCTGAGCTTTGATCGTCTCAGGAGAAGATCGAGTATGAGCTGGTTTTTATTCTTCTCTATGACATTGTAAGGTCTTATGTGTAAAGTGCCTTGAAATAATATATTTAGTGATTTGGAGCTACACAAATAATAATGTATTGACATCCTCATTCATTTATCAGTTATGTCTGATCATATTATTACAGCATGAATCTTCAGTGTAATATGGTTGTTTATGTCTGCATGTTGATCCTGTGACACCAGCTTTGATTGGCTCCAGCCCCTGAAAGGATAAGATAAGATAGGCTGTATAGATAACGCATATAGAATTTATAGATATTAGAAAATTCACTTTTACCTAAAACACTGAGTCCTTGTCGTTGTCCCACATTATCTCAAGCGTCTTATGGAGAAAATTCCAGAAGCGTTTGTTTCAGGCTCAGCTGCTGCCTCCGACCAACTGGTGTAACACACACACAGAACCCACATCTATAAAGAGACCATAAATCTGAGGTATTTCCACTCTTCTCTTTTCTTGTCTCTCAGCCACAGGCAGGATTCAGGATGGCAGAGTAAGACTTGAACTTTCTCTTAAATCTAGAGGAAAAAAACTGAAAAAACTAAAATCATTTTCCCTCTTTGTTTGTTTGTTTGTTTTTTATATAAAGGAAAAAGATGTCGACCAGCCGGAGGAATCAGCTCAAGGTAGAGTGCAGATGTTTTAAAGTTTCAAAATGTGAACGTATGTTGTTGTCCAGCGTCTGTAGCTGTGAAGTTAATTTAATCATCGCTATCATCATAACTTCCGCACAGCGTTAATCGAAAAGCAGTTTGATGGGAAAAATATGAAAACAATTGAAGAATAAAATAAGAAGGAGAAGAAGCTTTTATATTTGTGTTATTCATTGGTTTTAATCATGATTCTGGAACAATTAAAAAACTGGGCTGCTGACAAAACAATGTCTGTTTGTAAAAAGAGTAAAAGATTGAAAATGATCATCAAACTTCTTTTGACATATAAATGTTGGATACCTGCAGAAGCCTGTGAAGTTGATCCAGAGTAAATCTACAATGACAGCAAAACAGAGAGATGACAATAATGATAATAATAAGAGGAAGAAGAAGAATAGGAATACATAAATACATAAACATAAATGGGTGATAGGGAAGATCTTCCTCTGGGCAGGGTCGTATAAAAGTTGTGACCTCCTCTGTCGTCCTGTCAGAGTTTGCTGCTGCAGATTGCTGAGACGATGCTGGAGGAGGAGGTGCAGGAGGCTGAGAGAGAGAAGATGAAGCACCTGGAGGAGAACTGTCCGTCTCTCTCTGTTCCAGGCTGCATGCAGGAGCTGCAGGTAAAACCTCCTCCATCTGGATGAAACACAAACAAAGCTGGTATTAGTCTGAGCCGAGCAGACTGTAGAACTGATATTCACACTCAGAGCTGAATGCATATGGGCTGCTGCACCAATACCTGCTGCAGTACAGGTCATAAATCCAACCATGTTAGCAGATGAGACATGGACCAAACTAAAAATCAAAGTAGATGTTGAATAAATGTTTCTCAAAGATGGTTTCTGTCATTTTAGTTCTTATCACACTGATGTATGTTTTAATGTTTTAGATAAGTTTGTTTAATTTTATGAAATAAAAACAGGGTGAAATGTTAATGATTATACATCTGAGACTGACTGGGAATATTATGGCTTTGTATGAGGGAAATGATCACAGAAGAGAGTAAAGTGTGACAGGATGTTATTTTCTTGACTCTTTCAACATCAGGATCTATGCCGGAAGCTTCACCAGCAGATTGATCTGGTGGATGAAGAGCGATTCGACATAGAGATGAAAGTCAAAAAGTCCAACAAGGAGGTAGATCACGTTTTAAAAAAAAATCTAATTTAACTCCCTGCCACAGGTTTTAATATTTTTACATGGATTTAATTTCCTCAGAAAGTGTCAACAGTACAAATGTTGTCCTGCAAACCAGTTTTCATACGCACAGAATCTCATGAAGCGTCTCCTCTGTCAGATCGACGACCTGAAGTTGACGGTTCAAGATCTGAAGGGGAAGTTTAAGAAGCCGGCGCTGAAGAAGGTGCGGATGTCGGCCGACGCCATGTTGGCCGCTCTGCTGGGCTCCAAACATAAAGTGTCCATGGACCTGAGGGCCAATCTGAAGCAGGTCAAGAAGGAGGTGAAAGAGGAGGTGGGTGATCCAGACTTCAGAAAACGTACTTTGATATTCTCAGGGTCCTAAATGTGCAACATCACAGAGACTCTGAGTTTAATCACTGGCAGTACCTCAAACTCTTTAATATGTTTATTGATTTGCTCGTGATTCTCTCAGGAGAAGCAAACAGGCGACTGGAGGAAGAACATTGAAGACAAGGCTGGGATGGACGGCAGGAAGAAGAGGTTCGAGACAGAGGCTTAAACCTCGTGGATGTGATACTGTCGTCAGGTTCAGCATCAACATCATTCATGTCTGTGTCTCATGTGAGTCCACAGTTTAGATGACAAACGAAATAAATCCTTTGGTGTGTTTGTGTGTTTCATATTGATAATCTGATAAATCATGAAAAAGAAATGACACATTTGAGGATACAAAAATAAGAGGAAAATTGTGCAGTTAAAAAAACAAGTTAATAAAATTCATATTGTTTTCATGATTTAATAAGTAATGGAAATAGTAGAATTAAGTGATTTTTGGGGCATTTTGTAGAGCAGTTGTCAAAGATTTTTAAAAACGTAGATATGTTTTTTAGGACAGAATAAGGAAAGATCTGGTGTGTTTCTTACTAATGACGCTTAAATTGTGATGGGATTTTTAATTCTTGTGTTAAAGTTGAGCCTGGTTTCATAAACGTGACAATAAGAATCAGTGGCCTCAAAGTCATAAGGTCTGTTCATATACA